TCTTTCTGGAGATAGAGGAACTCTCTTCTGTGAGTCATGGTTGGATCGAAAGTGAAGCTGTATTCCTGTAGAAGCGCATGTGCACAATCAGACACGCATGAGAAAAGCTTTCGCACGGCTCATGTTACGGTTAACCTAATTACACCTACAGTTGCATTCCTGATGTGCACAGATCCTTTTGTGACATATGTAATACAGAATACCATAGATCATCAGAATGAACTTCAAACACTATATAAGAATATCAAATTATCTAAGCCTTAAGATACATAATAGAATGTGTTTTACATTAGCTTCCACTCTGATCTAAACCTACACAACACACACAATGTCCACTCAAGCAAACTAGGTCAGCTGATTCATCTAAATTCATTTCTCTAGTATAGCACCATTGCATTTTGCATACTATTTGTCCTACATAATATTCAAGATTAGGATTAGTCCATCCCAAAACAAAGTTGACTATAAAATAGGATGCTAAAGCTGCCTGGATTCTGAAAACTGTACTTTCTTATAGCTGTACATGCTTTTTGGGCTAATATAACAAGTGTTTAGCAAGGAATATTTGAACCTATCAAAGTACACTACCCTTCAAATGTTGGGGTCATTTAAGATTATAATTTTTTTTATGTGAATATATTATTATATGTGAATAATAATAGTTCTATCTACATCAAGAAGCACATTTAAAGGCCAATTATTGCATCTTTGCAATGCCTTAAAATTGTGTATTTAAAATTATATAATAAAAAAAATTATATAAGCATGAGAAATGTAAATGTAAATTTTACTAAATTAATTTTAATCAGCAAGAGTGCATTAAATACATCAAATTGACAGTAAAGGACTTGTTACAAAAAATAATTATGCTGTTTTGAATTTGCAATGCATCAAATAAACATGCATCATGGTTTCCACAAAAATATGAAGCCGCACAACCGTTTTCAAAAGCGATAATAATAAGAAATATTTCTTGAGCACCAAATCTGCATTTTAGAATGATTTCTGAATAATCATGTGACACTGAAGACTGGAGTAACAGCTGCTAAAAATTCAGCTTTGCTGTAACAGGAATAAATTGACATTTTAAAATATATTAACATAGAACAGCTTACTGTTGTAAAATTGTAATAATATTTTTTTGATTAAATAAATACAGCCTTAGTATGCATAAGAGCCTTCTTTCATAAATATTACAAAAAAACTTGTGAATGGTAGTGTCATTTTTAAATGCATGAACCTGAAAGTAACTTATACTGAATTAAAAGAATTATTAGAAAAAATTATAATTTTAGCATTCGCACGAACAGTAGATGTAATTTTATGACAATACTTACTGTCTTTTTATTGTTCATGCAAATCTAAATGTTTTTCAAGAAAACAACCAAATAATCAGCTAATGAAATCTTAAGAAATTCCTGAATAATTATTCTGATTTTGGGTTAACCTGATCCCAATATAATGCATTTCTATTTCTAAGGAGGTGTGATCTTGTGATTAAAAACAGCTAGATGGAGTGTAACAGAAGCATGGGTGACAAAGACACGGGTGATCAAACTAGAATGGAACTCTCTTTAACTTTACATGGTGTATTGAAAACCTAAACTAATGCTGCAAGATACTCAAAAAGAGTGGGTTGCAATGTAACAAACAAAGATTTCTGATTGACACTGTATGAAAAAACTGTGACTTTCATCATGCTCTAATGGATGTCCTTTTTCCATCAACACCACAAAAAAGCACAAAGCAGTACGAAGAAATTGCCATTCAATCTGTCAATCACCCTGCCTCCATCTTTATTCCTACCCACACTCAATCTTTTTCCCATTGCTCATCTTCCTCTTCAATAACTGACTGTATTTATTGGTGTCTCTGCAGTATGAACATGTCCAGCAGTTCTGCTCTGATCCAGCAGATCTATCCCTTTCACGACGGCTGGAATGTTGCCTGCTTCATCATCCTCCTCCTCTTCATCCTCACCATCCTCTCACTCGCCACACTGGCATTCCTCTATGAGCTGCTGGACTGCGGCTGTTTCACCAAAACCAAAACCGTTCGTGACCTGCGCCGCCAGCGAGACGAGGTGGTTTAGTTGTAACCATGGTGACAGCGGACACAGTCTCCATAGGAACCACAACAGTAGATTGGTGGAAAAGGCTGCAGATTTGGACGGAGCTCTTCGCCAGATTGGAGTCCCTTAAAACACGCCAGACACATACAGAGACAGAAGCCCTCTACTTCCACTAGCTCTAACAGCAATACACAGCACAGGTGTCTCCATGGCTTAAAATATTACATTTAGACCAGAAAGAGAGGAAAAAACTTGCTTGTATGCTCATTGTCTCTTTATAGTCTGCATTCAGTATTCCGGTACCATTGTGTGATGACTACATAAAACTGTTGTATTTTTTGAGATATGAATTTACATGAATTTTTCCCTTTGTGTGGGATGACAAAGTTTACATGTCAGTATTATAGAATTAATATTCTACATACATTATGATTCTACTACTTAAAGCAAATAGCACACACTACGTTTGAAGTAAAGGGAATGTTTGTATGTGTACGTTTACATTCACTCTTAGGTGAGATTTAATATGTGAATAATAATAGTTCTATCTACATCAAGAAGCACATTAAAGGCCAATTATCGCATCTTTGCAATGCCTTAAAATTGTGTATTCAAAATTATATAATAAAAAAAAAATCATACAAGCATGAGAAATGTGTGGTTCCCATCAGGGTCACAGAAGATATCATCAGCTGCTAACAGTAAATTTAAATCGGTCTACATGCTCAAAAACGTGCAGAAACAGGCCTGTGCTTGAGCTTTGCTCGACTCGAGATCACATACAAGAACTAGACTACACCTTTAATAAGGCGTGCAGCCAATATTACTGGCCTAAAATACACAAGACACCATGAGAGCTAGAGATAAAGACTGATAATGTAATGATTGATATTTTTTTAATGATATTCAGAATTTTCAACATAGCTGGTTATTGGTTTTATTAATATTTTGTACCAATAAACAGCACCTTTTTGGTGGGGCTCTAAATTAAAGCACCCAACAACAGTACACTCACAGGTATGGTCACTTTTTAAAATATATAGTCGGGGTAATTATTCAACTTTTAAAATAACTTATGTAACTCTAAATGTAAAACCCAAAACAATCATGGCAAACATTCAGAGTGCAAAAACAACTTAGCATAAATATAACACACACAACAGCAATCATTAGTGTTACTATTATTATTATATTATTAATATTGTCTTTAATAATTAAATCTGTTCTGCATATTTCTTATCAAACAATTAAACAACTTTCAATATCAAAAAGGTAATATCAGTCCATCTCCAATCAAAATGTACTACTCCGTTCTCAAATAATCCTCATATTTTGTTGTAATACTCTATTTTTATGACTATCTACTTGGGTAACTCTCACAAACAAAAGCTGGTCAGCGACAAAAGCCTTGTGGACAGCGTGCCGACTTACAGTGCTTCCTGTCATTAAACTGTCCAAACTAAATAAAAAGGCAAAACGCCGAAAATAAATAAAATAAAGGCTGAGCAGACATCAGCCGGGAGGCCCATGATGAAGGTTTTGCTAACTGCAGCCCTGCCCAGGACAGTCCCAGTATCGCAAGCTTTGCCTGGGTGACAATCCACAAAAAATGTAAATATATCCTGTTTGTACTTGTTAGGCTCACTGCCATAATTTAAGAATCCTCAATGTCATTCTAGCTATTGACACTGGTTTTACTTTAAACAGGTTGAGAAGTGAAGATGAAGCTGATATGAGAATGCTTTCATTCATTTGAGAAAAGTACTTCAGTAATTCAGATTGCAACGCATCAGGCTCCCAAAAGCAATAAAGTCCTAGTGCAAGCAGCTTCAGCTATTTTTTGTTATATTGGTAATGTTTCAGCATCTTCCAAAAACATAAGTGTAATGGTTTAGAAATGCTGATGCTATTTAAATAATGCTAAAACATCAATACAATAAATATCATCATATGTAACAGAAGAGGTCGACATACACTACCATTCAAAAGTCTGGGGTTGGTACAATTTTTTAAAAAAAATGTTGAAAGATGATTTTATCTGTCAATGTAAATTTATTCCTGTGATGGCAACGCTGAATTTTCAGCAGCCATTACTCTAGCCACTGCCATAATTTAAGAATCCTCAATGTCATTCTAGCTATTGACACTGGTTTTACTTTAAACAGGTTGAGAAGTGAAGATGAAGCTGATATGAGAATGCTTTCATTCATTTGAGAAAAGTACTTCAGTAATTCAGATTGCAACGCATCAGGCTCCCAAAAGCAATAAAGTCCTAGTGCAAGCAGCTTCAGCTATTTTTTGTTATATTGGTAATGTTTCAGCATCTTCCAAAAACATAAGTGTAATGGTTTAGAAATGCTGATGCTATTTAAATAATGCTAAAACATCAATACAATAAATATCATCATATGTAACAGAAGAGGTCGACATACACTACCATTCAAAAGTCTGGGGTTGGTACAATTTTTAAAAAAAAATGTTGAAAGATGATTTTATCTGTCAATGTAAATTTATTCCTGTGATGGCAACGCTGAAATTTCAGCAGCCATTACTCTAGCTTTCAGCGTAACATGATCTTTAAAAAACCATTACGATATGCTGATTAGGCAGTCAAAAAGCATTCATTATTTATTAAAAGTTGCGCTTCTTAATATGTTTGCAGAAACCATGATTCATTTTCTTTGATTCATAGTTCAATTCTTTGATTTATTTATTTATTTAGTCATTTATCAGATGCTTTTATCCAAAATATCTTAATATGTTTGCAGAAACCATGATTCATTTTCTTTGATTCATGGTTCAATTCTTTGATTTATTTATTTATTTAGTCATTTATCAGATGCTTTTATCCAAAATATTGATGAATGGAAAGTTCAAAAGAACAGCATTTATTTGAAAAAGAAATAACATAACACATCTACTCTCTGACCTGTGCTGTTTTTGGAGGACGATGACGTCTCTTTGTCTGGTTTGCTCTTTTTCTTCTTGGAGGATCCAGAGGCCTCAGAGGTTGCTGGTCTCTTCTCAACTACAGGAGTGGACAGAGCTCTCTTTTTAAAGAGTTCTCGCTCTCTCAGCAGAGCTTTATCCATCCTAGACACATACAACACAGTTAATAATTTGATTCAACTGACTTTGAGTGTGTATAAAATTATATAAAATGAATTTATTCATTTTAAATGACATTATAAATAATGCTAGCAAATTAATAAAGCAAGGCTCTACATCACACAAATGCTACAGCAGGTTTGGCTTGTTTGACTAGTATGGTGCAAGCCAAAACTATGAATTAGTACACTATTAAACCAATACTTGAAAACATGACAAAGTATATCCACAAATCAATGCACTATTAAACTACCAATTGAAAATAAAACCATAACATCTGCCGAGCTGATATACACCACCTGACAATGGTTTGGACGGATTTTTATTTTTTATAATATTTTTAAAATAATAATAGTACCAATAATATTAAAGTCATAATCAGCCAGTTTCCACATAGATACGTTGGCTGGTTTTCATTCAATATCTGGTGGTCCAACTAACTCATTTAAAAACAAACACTTTTTAGGTTTATAAAGAATTTAGTTATATAACTATAATTTATAGATAGAGGTGGATGTTGACTGTGTAACCATTACTTTCATCTCTCGTCTTTAGATGAGAGACAATCTAATGCACAGTCTATTAGAGATATTTGAGGCCAGATGGAAGTTTATCCACCTCCAACATACTGATATAAATTGCTTATTTACAGTCAACGCCGAGTGGATATTAAATATCTAACACGTGTAAACTTTTATATTTGAAAAGACATTCTATATAAAACCACACTATCCGCAATTAACAAATAAGCCAGAAACATGTTAACGTTACATCACATAAAAACATGCAGCAACACATCTACAATTTAATAAAGTAGTTCTGAGCGTTACCTGAATATCTCACTGCCTTCTCTCTCAGAGAGAAACAGTTCAGCTAAATATTATTTTCAGTGACGATATGCTGTCAACTTAGTGAAGACGCTAAATGGGAAGCTTGTCACAGAATGCTAGCGGTGCTACACGACTACACGAATTTCCTGCGGAAGAACGAGTCTCTCCTTCTTTGTTTTTAATAGTGAGTTGCACAGAACTCCAGTGCCGCCTGCTGGTCAAAAGGATTATTACATCTGTTGCGATGTGCAAAATGCTAATTTACTGGTATTAGTGAATATTTTCAAACAATAAACTGATAAAAAAAAAAATAATAGTTAAAAAACGAATGGAAGATTCATACAAACACGCTAAAAGGTTTGAAAAACCAACGCTAGTAAAATTCTGATTGCTCCTCTCCTCTTTAACAGTAGGAGGCGCATGTGCTGTTTTCTTTGTATAACAAGGTCTCATGTGCTTCTGAAGAAAGAAATGGCATGGCAGCTACAGAAGCCCAAAAAGTGATTGTTTACGGAGGAAAAGGGGCTCTAGGATCTGCATGTGTGCAGTACTTCAGAGCTAAAAACTGGGTAAGTTGTCTCAGCCCATAAGACGGCTCACGTAATTAAAAATAAATTGCTCTCTAGTGTGCCATCAGACATGCTCCATGGTTTTTGGTGATAATGTTGTTAATTATTAATTCGTTTGTCACAGTTGTCACGGTGTCATGCATTTATCCTTAACTATACATTTCTTGTGGCCTGTCATATGTCAATAAGGTGGATAATTTAATTTCAGTTGTGTTTTGTAATTTACAGTGGGTTGCCTCTATAGATCTCAGTGCCAATGAAGAAGCCAGTGCCAATGTTACAGTTAAGATGACTGAATCCTTCACTGAGCAAGCCAGCCAGGTAGGTGCTACTACCGTTTTTTTTTTACCAATTTAATTGTCAATTTACATTTTTTTAAAACTAGGAATTATTATTGGCTAATGCTAATATTCATGAATATAGTCTGAGTTATTGATCTGGCTTTGATTCTTAATTTCATGTGTTGTCTTCAAGCATGTTACATCTCTGCCTTTCTTTTTTTTTTAGGTAACATCTGATGTCGGTGAGCTGTTAGGTGAAGATAGGTGTTAGCTGTTAGGTGAAGATAAGGTTGATGCCATCTTGTGTGTGGCTGAAGGCTGGGCAGGCGGCAGTGCCAAGGCCTTAAAGTTAGTACATGCTTAATAAATACACTCCTACTGTCAAACACAATATTTGAAGGCCCTTTATATAATACATAACATACTGTATACACACAAACACATTATTATATATAACAGAAACTGAGTGTCGAATATCCATATATGTAAATTAATAAATTAACCAAAATTCACTTTGTGCTTCCAGAAGTTTCAAGAACTGTGTGTTGTGTTATTCAGTAAAATTGTTGAATAGTGATTGTATGTTTTTTTTTTTTTTTTTTTTTACATTGTAATTAAATTAGCCTATATTTAAATCTCTTAATGATATTGTTAAAAGTAATTACATTAATAATAATAATAATAATAATAATGTTTACATTTAAATAGTTTTAAGTCATGTCGTTTGGAAGTTTGGTGAGGCCCTCTGGTTGAGAACCACTGATCTATGACATGCTAAATCTCGACTTTGTCACATTTTCAATGTAAAGGCATGAATTATACTGTACGCAAATGCATTCACATTCTAGCGATGCAAGTGTAATTTTTTTTTTGGCATTGAGTTCTGAAACGTAAGCCGTTTGTGACTGTATTGTCACAAGGGGGCACTCTAAAGTCTAATTCTGTTCTTAAAGTGAATATTTTCAATTGTTATTATATTAGTTTATAATTTGTATAAATTTATTCTCTGTGCCTCAGCTCTGTATAAGATTGCTGATTTGATGTGGAAGCAGAGTGTGTGGACCTCCAAGATTTGCAGTCACCTAGCAACCAAACACCTGAGAGAGGGGGGGCTTCTCACACTGGCAGGGGCTAAAGCAGCACTGGGTCCAACAGCAGGTAGTGAACTGATGTTCAGCTGTTCTTTTTAATAGTCAACTTATTTTCGGGTCATCGTCATAAAAGCCCTGTAAACTTTGTCACAGGCACGAAGATACATCTTTCATTTCATCAAGCTGAATGCTCACTAAAAACTGACACAGTCATCACGTTTTCAAGTCATTTCAGAGTCGTGTGTCAGAGTGTTGTGTCAGAGTCTGAGTGGGTCAAATAGTGGTCTTCCTCCAGGATCTGCTGCAGTAGCAATACTTCCGTAAGGAATAACGATATAATAGCTGATTTTCATTCATGCAAATCTTTTTGTTTTAAATGACAACTAATAATTACTACGTTTAGAGTGACTTTAGATACACCCATGAATAGAAAGTTCATGCCAGATGGTGATGTCAGTTCCTGGACACCACTCGAGTAGTATCATCTATAACATCTGTAGTATGTGTTTTAGAGGTTGTATAGGTTAACGTGTGTGTGTGTGTGTGTGTGTTTTCCGAACTGCTGAAATATCAGCCATTGGTTGAAGCTATCCATCAACTTGACTGTCATTGTAAGTTAATTACCTTAGTGTTTGGAAGTTTAGGTCATGTGCACAAGAATGTGATTTAAAGGACTACAGTTGGGTAGATTGCAAAAAAAGAAAGCAAAAAGACTTGCAAAATTCTGTTCAGTTTCAGCCATTATAGGGAGTATGCAAATATGGAAACGAAGATGTTTTGTCTATCCTTGAGTGTTAAATGTTATAAATATAAGGACTTGTGAATGTATGTTAGCCATGTGTACCTGTCATCTTGCAAACTGACTTTCCAAAGTATTTGGATTCCGTCTTTGTTGCTTGTCTTGTGGATCCAAATAAAAGGTGTGTGTGTGTGTGTGTGTGTTTGTGTGAGAAGCACCATGAAGTGTTTTCTACATTCTAGGCTGTTCTATAAGTGTGTGTGTGTGAACAACCATGAAGTGTTTTCTACATTCTAGGCTGTTCTATAAGTGTGTGTGTGTGAACAACCATGAAGTGTTTTCTACATTCTAGGCTGTTCTATAAGTGTGTGTGTGTGTGTGTGAACAAAACCATGAAGTGTTTTCTACATTCTAGGCTGTTCTATAAGTGGACAACAGGAGAGAATAGACCTCCTTCAGGTACTCTGATGCAGCTGGTTACTGCAGACGGAAAAACAGAGGCTACACCGGTGTTATGATTAATTTGATGATCACCAAACTCCTTTAAGCCAAGCCAATAATCCACTACTGTCTCTGCATTAGTGATGCTTTTTATCATATTGCCTTTTTGTTTACATGTAAACACCAAAATACTGTAAGTTGTAGTTATTTAAAATTGGATAATTGCATAAAAATGTCAAAGATTGTTTTGTAAATGTGATGGCAAAAATAGCAATTAAACTTTTATTCTGATTCATTTAGCTTCTTTTTTTCCTTGCAGTCAAATATCCTTGTTACAGTCACAGTCTGCTTCTCACCATAGGGGGTCGCTGATGATTAATTTAATTACAGGTTCTCCTTTGGGTCCACACAGTCAAAAAAAAAAAAAAAGTAATTATGTTATGATCAGACTAGAATAGTGAGTCAGCATTGAAAAAGTGCTTTTACTAAGTAATGCAGTTTTGTTTATTCTCTTTTTTTTTGTGAGGATCAGGTATTTATTTAGAGGTACTAAAGTATTGCCTTTTTTCTCTTTATAAACTGGTTTTTATTGTAACAAAGTACAAGAATAAATGGTTCATGAAACGAGTGTTTAATTTCCAGTAATTTAGATGAAATTAATGATAATGGGTTCCTGAGCTACTACAAAAGAGATGCACTTGATGTAAAAAAAAAAAAAAAATCAATTACCCATTAAACTCATAATGAGTTTATTTTCAGAAATTATGAAAATGAATTTTTAAATGGCAACCATAGAAAATAATAATTGGTAAACACTTTTTATAATTTTGACATTTTCAAAACTTATCACATTCTCTCCTATCTAATAAGATTGAAACAAAACCACATCACAAATGTTGTCTAGGGAGAAACCTTGACACAAATGAGATTTACAGAGATGCTGCCGCCTTGTTACCTTGCATAATGTATCATGTCACCTGAGAATGCTATTTCAGGAAAGAATTTATTGTGGTCTAAACATCCAGATGAGTGTTGAGAAGTGATGTTTGCTGCCTGGAAAGTCAAGATGTCCTAATTGGTGTCCAAAAGTGGAAAATTCTATCATTTACACACTGTCATGTTGTTTCGAACCCATATTACTGTATATATCATTTAAGCGGGTAGAACACAAGTCATCAGGGCAGTTATTTGAGATTTGACTTACTAGTTACACTTACTAATTACATAGCGATTGTTCAGCTGATGAGATGTCTTTCCAAAAAAAAACCTTCAGTAGACAAAAACTCCATAAAGCAGTTGTGAAAGTTGTGAGTTGTACCTTTGAATAGTCATAGTGCATTCCACTGTAAACACTATCCCTCAAAGTCTTGATTTAATTTGTGTAAAATTCAGTATGCCATATATTAACAGGTCTATGCCATTTGATGTCATTGAAGTCAATAGAGTGACATGTCTTGACACATCAGATTGGACAGAATGTACATACAGAGATACCGAGTGGCCTTTAATAGATTATGTTTATGTTGTTTTAGGAGCTTGACAGATTGTAATATTAATTTCACATTTATCCACTGTCATTGTATGGACAAAATTCTAAAAAAATATCCTGTGTTCCACAGAATTCATAACAACACGAGCACAAGTGTATGTTAATCAGTTTTTCATTTCATTCAAGGTAAATAAACTAATGATTATATAGTGCATTGCGATACAATATAAAAATGTTACACAAGTGCACCAGTGAGCTTTTTCAAGGTTTATTAATATAATGAGATTCCACATGATGCAACAACTAAGAACCCTTTCGCAACATTCATGAGCAGGTTTTGTTTGTTGCTGGATTTTGTGCACCTTCTGTAGGCCTGCACAAAACCTCCCATTCTACCTCATTCAGTCCTTCTAGATTAAGATCTGAAGACACTGTGCACTGGAGTGAATGTCAGATGATGTTTGCTTGTGGATCTACTGGATGTGTGCATCTGAAAGCAAGCAGACTCTGGCCATAAATGGCTGTACACAATCAGTAACAGTATTCAAATGATGCTAGATGGTATTAAGAGGTCGATAGAGTCAGTGCCAAGAAAACATTTACCACAAGCCTGAGCTGAAACCATTGATCAGCCTGTTTTGAACCTCCTATCTGCATATAACAGTGGATATATTTCTTCTTGGCTTAAATCACATAATTTTGGTGTGTCAGTTGTATTAATTAATTAATTATTCATTTTATTTATTTATGCCGCAGATGGCTTGTATAACTCTGTATCATCATTATATTTATATTAGAGAGAGTTTTGTTGTTTCAGGGTTTCATTTTTAGCTAATATTTTGTTTTCTTTTTGGTTAATTTTAATCATCATAATCATCATCGTAATCATCGTCATCATCTGTGTTTCTCTATAAGACACCATTAATTTGTTGTAAAATTAATTTTGAAGACACTCAACATTGGTATCTGCAAATATTGGAAGGTGAGAATACAACAGCTTGTTTTAAAGAATTACGAATGAAAGATTTATTAATTGTTCTTACTGTGCATTATGATGTTTGACTTAATCAATGTATCTGTTATCAGGCATGACATGAAAAAAATGTTATAGGAATCAATAGTAGTTATGATGACCTAAGCTGAGTAATAAACACGTGTCATTATTTTAAGTTTTTTTTTATAATATTCTTTGAATCACAAGGTCAATAACAAATATAAAATCTCATACATTTCCCCTGTATTTTAGTCAAAGGTCAGTAAAGGAAGTTATGTGGCCTCCCATTCTGCTTTTTACATAAGCCATTCTTCATATATGAGTTCATTCATTTATTTGCTTATTTGTAATATTTCTTTGCTGCTGTACATTTTGCATCAGAATCAGAAGAGCTTTATTACCAAAGTATGTTTACACACACAAGGAATTTGACTTGACGACGGGAGCGTCCAGTGCAGAAGAAAGTACAGACATAGTGCAGACATACATAGGAGTAACACAGTGGGGATGGAATATAACACGAATATAACAAAAAAACAGAAATTAAATAATGTACTATATACAGAAATAGAAGTATAGGATGAAAAAAAAATTAAATTGTTTAAATAAATGTACAGATATGTTATAAGTGTGCAAATATGTTATTTACAAAGTGTGCAGTTTACAAGTGTACAAATTTTGGATTCTGTGTATATAAATGTCAGTTGTGATGAACGATGTATTAAGTTTTAATTGTTCGGGCTGAATATAGCCTGCGGGAAAAAAACTTTCTTGTGCCTGGCTGTTCTGGTGGTCGGTAAGACATTGAATAGGACTATAGCTAAATTCTAATGCACTGCTTGCCTTCGTATTAATTCATTAACTCTGTCACAAATTCATTCATGAAATTTGTGGTTGATTTATAATGAAAAGATTACTTCAGAATTTCAGAAATTATAGTATGTCATTGTATTGCAGCAACAGCAAGAGAAACTAGGAAAAAATATTCTTTCTCTCTCTATCGCTGTTTTTTTCTTTGCCTGTTATCAGGCTGGGCAGCCCATAATTTCAGAGCTGAAAGAACGAGGTCACTGAGTTGAGGTTGCTATGGCAACATCACATCTAAAGAATAGTGAATAGTAGGAGCATACAGCAAGCAAAGCTTGAAGTTCTGTTTGTGTTATTCCTGAGTAGATGAATGTGTGCTGCTAATCTTCCTTCATCACCACTGTTAAATATACTTTTAAACACACCTTAAATCACAGACTTTACCTTTTTAGAATCTTGACTAACTGCTTGTCAATAACTCTTGTGTCTATGATTGTAATGTGAGCATTGTTATACTGCAAGTACAATGGGCGTCACTTTGTGTTGAATCCACCTAAAAATAACATGAATTAGAAATGCATTTTTTGGAAATTGTATTTTTTTTATAATGTTTTATTTATATATAAATCAGACAATATTTTGAGATGAAGTTGGCTGACAGCCGTGCCGAACCTATCAAGAGTCTTGCAAATGAAAAGAGCACATTTTCAGTTTTTTAAAGTTTTTAAATTCCTTGTTTTATTGTTGTGATTATTTTTTTCTTTTATGTAAAGCGCTTTGAATTACCATTGTGTATGAAATGTGCTATATAAATAAACTTGCCTTGTCTGTGGATTATTTTTAGAGAATCTGAGGTTGCATTAATATTTAATCAAAGGATTCAACAATAAAATCCATATGGATCTCTCTCTCTCTTTCTGACTCACTGTCTCCATCTTCCTTTCTCTTTGATTATCCATACAGTATAGATGCATATGTGTGTGTGTTTGGGGATAGGCATGCAGAAAGATTGCACAAGAAAACACACTCATACATGCTACTTAGTGGAATTGCTTGTGCAGGGTCAGAGAGGGTGATGTTTACTCTAAATGATGAGCAACATCCTTTGACATTCATTATAATCTTCATCTCACTGGATTTAGGTTTACTTAAATTCGCCTTTATTATGTTTCTCTTTCACTTTTTTCTTGATGGGGCCCTCACATATTTCATTTCAAACATTTGTGTTTGATGCTTTGTTCTTCAACACTTTTTAGTACACATTGTATTATTACCAGAATAAATTTGAGTGAAACGCTGAATAGAAAATTTAAACGAATTTCAGAATTTCTTTTTATTTCATATGTTCTTTTGTTGAATGCAAGCAGCAAACAAGCAGCATGAACTCCACAATTCATACAAATCCTGTTTGTGTTCAAAAATATTGATATTAAAACCATGTTGTCTAGCATGATTTTAGAATCCTACTAAACGTCTCATTTGTAGAGGTCAATACTCGATAAGATTTAGGCTATCAAATTATGGAATGATTTATCCCATCTGGCAAAAAAAAAAGTTCTTCATTAATATGTTATAAAAGATGCTTTAAAAGCATTTTATTACTGATTTATAAAATCTTGTTTCCTTATTTCTTCTTGTTATGTATTTCACGTTCCTTATAGTGTTTGTTTCTGGTGTACGTTACAATATATGCTCTTATTAATTTGATTCAGTAATTTGCATTTATAAATTTTTGTATGTTACTTATATTTTGTTTAGGTTGAGACTTTAAATAAGCTCTTATGGTTTTTCTGCCTCTCCCTACACTGTATATGAATTATAGTTCTTTGCTTTTTATCGTATATGTTTTATATTGTGTCTGTGTCTGTGTCTGTGTATGTGTGCATCTCTGATCCTCTTTACTAATATACCTACAGTTTGCATTGTGAAGCCACATGAGCATTGAACTATCAATCACACAAGCACAAAATGAAGCAACAGGCTCTGTGTATATGCGTGCGTGTGTGCTACTCTCTACACTATTTTGTAAAAAGAGGGAGTGTCTTGATTTTGGCCATGAGAAAGAGAGACTAAGAGGAAAAAAGAAAGTGAAGTAAAGGAGGTGAACTTTTGGGGCCCTGCTTTCCCCTAAAACAAGAGAGTAATAGAATCCATATGGACTGACTCTCTCTGTCTGTCCTATCTGTCTCTCATCACATAAGAGAGATTTTTGAGCATAAAATTGAGTGGGAAATGTATAGAAAGATTAAATTATCGTTAAAAAGAAAAAAAATGTGTACATGTCTCCAAACAATGGGAGAGAGTGAGAGACTCTCAAACCAGGAGAAACAGCCGTATCTGTTTGGAGAACACAAGAACTGCTGTGTGTTTGCTGCTCAATATGTGTCTGCCTGTCACCATAGAAGAGAAAACACTCAATCTGCCCTGATCTGATGTTTCCAGCACATGTAGAATATATTATGCCATATTACTGTTATATTATTTAGATGTTTGCTTCTGTAAATCTGTCTAATCCCTTATCTTATTTTATTTTATTTCTATTTTACATACATGCATTAGTAATTCATTTTGCACTACATGCTTAATACTTTTTATATGTTATTATTATTATTACTATTATTATTATTATTTTTCTTTCTATTAATACATATGTGCACTATTTGTAAGCAGCCCAGCTGCAATTGCATTGGCAATACAAATGTATAGTTTTTGTCATGCCAATAAAGCATACTTAAATTGACAAATTGAGAGACATAGAGAACATTGAGAAATATAGAGAGAATGTGTGTGTGTGTGTGTGTGTGTGTGTGGGAGAGCAAGTCTCTTGTGTGAGTCATAAAGAAGGAGAGATGGAAAAATACAAGTAGAGAAACACACACACACACACACTGTAGTTGCAGCTCTGCATTGAATACGTGCAATGCTGTATGCAATTCATTTGCACATGAGCAAACTATATTATGCCACAGTAGCACACACTGCAGTAGTTATTGAAGACATGTATTGGGGATTTTATCCGAAATATTAAAAAGCAAACAGTAATTGCATTCCATTGAATTTTGCTCTAATTGGCCAACTTGTCAGACTATACTGTAAAGACCCACCAATTTACAGGAGCCTCTCTCCTTTCCTCCACCCCCTTCCTCGTTTCTCCCCCTTCCCATCGCGAAGTCCTCCCTCCCTCCCCCGCTCCTCTCCTCTCCTCTCCTCTCCTCTTACAGCAGAGCGCGCGTGTGATTTGACAGTCGCATCTCTCCGTGTGTCCGGGAGCGCGC